TTTCTCATTGTACAGTTTGAACGGTTTCATTATGATGCGTCCACGTGTGGATGTCTTCAGTTTATCCTAGTTGGGATCTTTTGAGTTCTTGGGTTATTTACATCCCACTTGGCCATTACTTATTCAAGCGTGCTCTCTCAACCTTTCTCCTTTGGGGATTTTTGTTACGATTATGCTGGTCTGCTTGGCGTGTCCCACACGGCTCTGAGGAGCGGTTCGTTTTTCTGCATCCTTTTTCCTTTCTGTCCATCAGACTGGAAAAAACAATCTCCATTGACCCAACCTCAGGTTTGCTGGTTCTTCTTTCTGCTCACTCAGATCTGCTGTTGTGACTCTGGTGAATTTTTCAGCTGTTGAACTTTTCAGCTCCAGAATTTTTATCTGTTTCTTTTTTTTTTTTATAATTTCTGTCTGTTTATTGATATTCCCTGTGAGTGAGGTGTTATTCTCATACTTCCCCTTAGTTCTTTAGAGATGGTTCCCTTTAGTCCTTTGAACGTATTTCAAATAGCTGATTTAAGGTCTTTAACAGGTTCAGTACCTAGGCTTTTTCAAGGACAGTTTCTGTTGTGTGTGCCCCCCACCCACCCTTTGGTACTACCTTCTTGTTTCTTTGCATGTCTTAGAGACTTTTGTTGAAGACTGGACCATTTAAATAGTGTAGCTGGTACTTCCCTGGTGGCGCAGTGGTTGAGAATCCGCCTGCCAATGCAGGGGACACGGGTTCCAGCCCTGGTCCGGGAAGATCCCACGTGCAGCGGAGCAACTAAGCCCGTGCGCCACAACCACTGAGCCTGCGCTCTAGAGCCCGTGCGCCACAACTACTGAGTCCGCGTGCCACAACTACTGAAGCCCGCGTGCCTAGAGCCCGTGCTCCACAATAGGAGAAGCCACCACAATGAGAAGCCTGCCCACTGCAGCAAAGTGTAGCCCTAGCTCGCTGCAACTAGAGAAAGCCCTCATGCAGCAACGAAGACCCAATGCAGCCCAAAAATACATGTTAAAAAAAAATAATGTAGCGTCTCAGGAAACCAGTTTTCCCTCCAAGGTGTTGCTGTAGCTTGTTTGTTTAACGACCTTTCTGGACTAATTCTGTAAAGTTTATGGTGTGAGTTTCCTGGGGCTGCTGTAAGAAAGCACCACAGAGTGGGTGGCTTAAAACAACAGAAATGTCTTGTACCGCAGTTGTGGAGGCCAGAAGTTTGAAGTCAAGGTGCCAGCAGGGTCGTGCTCCCGCTGGAGCCTGTCGGGTGGATTCTTCCCGCCTCTTCTAGCTCCTGGCGGTGGCCAGCCATCCTGGGCGTTCCTGGGTCTGCAGGTGCAGCTCCCCAGCCTCTGCCGTCCTGTGGCCTCCTGTCTGTGTGTCCATGTGTCTGTGTCTTCATGTGGTCTCTTCCTCTTACAAAAACTCCGGTCATATTGGATGAAGGCCCACCCCACTCCACTCTGACCTCATTTTGACTTAACTAATTATTGCATCAATAAATGTACCCTGGATTGCCACAAACCTTTAGTCACTTCCCAGTGTTCTGAAAAAGCTGATTTCTGACGATTTTGCTAGTGTCCTCGTTGCTTTTGTGGAGGAGAGGAGTTTTGGCGGTCCTTACTCTGCCTTTCTCATTGATGTCGCCTACCTTTTATACTTAAAGAGTTTATAGAGATACCATTTACGTGCCAGGCGGTTTGCTCGTTTGAAGCATGTAATGCAGTGGTCTTCAGTATATTTACAGTTGTGCAGCCATCGCCGTGGTCGATTCTAGAACATTTTATCGCGCCTCTTCACCAGTCACTCCCACCTCCCCCCATCCCCTCCGTGCCCTGCACCCCCCCACCCTCGCCCCAGCCGCGTGCAAGCACTAAGCTACTGTCTGCTTCTGTAGGTTGGCCTCTTCTGGGTGTTTCAGGTAGATGGAATCATCCCACATGTGGTCTTTTATGACTGGCGGCTTTTCACTTGCTATCATGTTTTCAAGGTTCATCCATGGTGTAGCATGAATGCGTCCATGCTGAATAATATTCCATTGTGTGCACAGACCGCTTTTATTTATCCATTCATCAGTTGATGGACATCTGGGTTTTTCCTCTTTGGCTCTTATGAATCATGCTGCCGTGGACGTTTGTATACAGGTCTTTGTGTGGACACACACGTTCATTCCTCCTGAGCGTATACCTAGGAGTGGAGCTGCTGGGTCATAGAGTAACTCTATTTCTAACATTCTGAGGAACTGCTAGACCGTTTCTGAAGGCAGCTGCACCATTTGCACACCTGCCAGCATATGTGAGGGTTTTCCACATCCTCACCAGCGCACAATGTAGTCTTTTTTTTGTTGTTTTTTTAATTGGAGTCAACATAGGGCATCATCTTAGTGTGGCTGTGATTTGCATTTCCATGACGGTTAGTGACGTCGAGCATTTTTTTCTGTACTTCCTGGCCATTTGTACATCTTTGGAGAAATGTATATGTAAACCCTTTGCCCATTTTTAAATTGGGTTATTTGTCTGTGTTTTTACTGAGTTGTAAGTTCTTTGTATATTCCAGATATAAGTCCTTTATCAGATGTGTGATTTGCACATATTTCTCTGATAAAAATATTCTCCCCCATTACCTTTTTAGCTTTATTGTTTCCTGTTTTTCCACATATTCTGTGCTCTAGTTAAGATTTCGCTTTTCCCCAGAGGTGCTGTATTTCCCTCCTGGAAATACAATAAATAACAGTAAATAGTCACTCAGCAAACATTCCTTGAGCCCCCGTCGTGTGCCAGGCTCCCCTCGCCGGGACATACCTGAGAACAGAGCTGAGCGGATCCCTGCCCTTCCGGAGTTTGCGCCCTGGGGCTGTGTCCTGAGTCTCAGGGCGCTCTTAGGGTTATCGTGGGCTGATTCCCACTCTCCCCAGAGTTTGGATATTTACAGATTGTGCCTGGCAATGGTGGACACAGCTGTTTTCTGTGTGGATGAATTAATGAGCTCAGGGACCCTGTCTTATTCATCACCGTGTTCCCTGGAGCTGGTACTTAAGAAACGCTTGTTGGCTCCTTGAGGATTTCCGTGGTCCCCGAGGAGACTGGGTAAACACAGCTTTAAGGCCCCTTTCCATGTAAAAATATTTTTACATGGAAAGGGGCTGGGCTCTTGGGATGACTTCGGAGAACAGGTACATTCTAGAGCTGTGGTCTCCACACATTTTTAGTCATTAAGGTATTGGGGACTGCCAGTTGGGGACACCCCCCATATACACACTTCATATACAGACACTTATGTACACACACTCATACATGTGTGCACACATGTACACATACACACTTAAACATAGACACACACCTCATATTCAAACACACACGTACACACTCACGTATGTATGCACTCGTACACACACACCCACATGCAACACCTGTACGCACACTTACACACATGTACACAATTTATACATATGCATGTTTTAGTAATTTGTATGCACGTACTACACTCTACTACTCTTATGTACATTATAATGTAAATTAAACAGGAAAAGATGGAAAATACAAGTGCAATGAAAAAATTCAAAAAAATAAAGAAAATACAAGTAGAGCCGCTAATACCTTCTTCCTGCACTTGGTGGATCATTGCGACCCTGGGACGTACGCCCTCACTTGAGAGCAGCCTGCCTTAGAGCACATGACATTTAGTGTTTTTATTTATTTATTTATTTATTTATGGCTGTGTTGGGTCTTCGTTGCTGTGTGTGGGCTTTCTCTAGTTGCGGCGAGCCGGGGCTACTCTTCGTTGTGGAGCACAGGGCTCTAGGCATGTGGGCTCAGTAGTTGTGGCACATGGGCTCAGTAGTTGTGGCTCAGGGGCTCTAGAGCTCAGGCTAAGTAGTTGTGGTGCCCGGGCTTAGTTGCTCCGTGGCATGTGGGATCTTCCAGACCAGGGCTTGAACCCTTGTCCCCTGCACTGGCAGGTGGATTCTTAACCACTGCGCCACCAGGGAAGCCCGACATTTAGTTTTTGTATGGAGTTTTGAGGCCCTTGGGGGTTCCCAGATACAAGCTAAGCCCTTGTTTATTTTCTTAATCTCTAAGGTCAGTTCAAGGCAGCTATATTTTAAATCCTAAAATGCTGAGTGATTTCACAGATGAAGAAATCTGGTCATTAATTCTGTATTAGAATGTAAACCAGAATCTTGCATTGAAGAATTACTTTAAGAAGTAAATCATAAAAAGTGATACAATGACGTTGTAGAAAATTGAGAAGGTGGAGAAATGTGATCTACCCTTTGTTCTATGTTTATAGCAGTGTTACTTGGAATGAGACCTTTTTCCCCCAAGGGATACCTTAACCTTCTTTTTTTTAACTGAAAAGAACCTTTTTTTCTTTCAAGTTCTAAACTCTTCTCTGTACTAAAAACCAAACTGACCTTTTAACAGGGTTTCTGTGTTTGTTGGCAGGCTGTTAGATATAAAATCTCTGAGTTGTCTTTCCTTGTCCTGTGAACGATACGTGGGTGACTTCTTGTGTCTAAGGAGCTGAAGTTGTAGGGCTTAATGCTTTGATCTGTGGGAGCAGGAGCTCTAGCTCAAGCGAGCATGCAGGTTCTCACACATCAGAATGATTGTGGTGGCAGGAACGCAGTGTGCTCTGCCTCTGGAAATGCCGGCACGTGTAGAAGATCGGATGGCCCATTTCTCTGTTTTAACCGTTTTCTTGACTCTGGAGAAAAGGAGGACTCTCTTTTGCACATAACTTGTAAATATTTCACTTCTTTTTCTCTGCCCAAGTTGAAAACTAGACTTCCCCGGTCCTGGACATGTGGGCGTGTTTGCTGATTCATGGCGTGGTGGTTTATGAGAGAGGAGGACGTGGCCCTGAGTGGACCCCCAGCCTGAATGAATGAGCGTCACCGGGGCCAGGATGGGGTTTGGCTGGGTGACGTGGCCGGAGTCCACGTGCTGAGCCAGCAGGCGGCGTCTGCGGGGCGGCCTCCCTGTCTGAGCAGCTGCGCTCACCTTGTCTCCTGCAGACTCACCAGTGCCCCAGGTCAGCGAGCCGAAGGCCCCGGACTCCAGTCGGATGCAGATGCCGCCGGGGAACCCACTGCTGTTGTCGCTCACGCTGCAGGAGCTGCTGGCCAGGGACGCCGTGCAGGTGGAGCTCATCCCCGAGAAGAAGGGCCTCTTCCTCAAGCACGTGGAGTATGAGGTTTCCAGCCAGGTACCTGCGGCATGCAGTGGGGGGCGGAGGTGGTGGGAGGGGGAGGGCCGCCGGGAAGACCCACAGTGGCGGGCAGGTCCCCCAGCGTGCTTGCCTCTGCGGCCGCCCCCCAGCGGCCCTGCCCGCCCTCGCCGCCGGAGCTCTGGGATCCTGCCTCTCAACACGCTCGGTCGGGCTCTGGAGCGCGAGCCCCGGACGGGCCAGCCTAGGGCGGTCTCGCAGTGCTGGGATGTCCGCGGGGTGAGAGTGTGGACCCCACAGAATGTGGGCTCCACACCCCGAGTCAAGTGTGTGTGGCTCATCCCCCAAATGGCGCTGCTGTCTCTGTTAGGGGCACCCCTGAAACCAGAGTTCATTGATGCCAGACGCCTGGCCCTGGGGCTGGCTGGGCGCGTAGAACCCTGTGGCATCTGCAGCGTTTATCTTTTTGTCCATCCGCCTGTTATCTCGGTTCAGTTAGGATACGTTTTGATGGGAGCTTTTATTCTTTATCCTGGGGATTAAGTCATCGGCGAGCTGAGAGCACCCGTGCGTGTGTGGCGGGGGGCAGATTCGCAGGGTCAGTGCTGCCCCCGCCACGGAGAGCTGCCCGGGTCACAGGCTCAGGCAGCAGCGCTGCTGGGCTTGGGCTGGGAAAGCATCACGACCGTCATCGCAGGGAGAAAGGCGCGTGTTTGGAACCCGGGACGTTCCCCGTCGCGGACGCTGTTTGCCGTGTTCCGTGAGAATCGAGAATCACTGCGTTTTTGTTTCGTTGTGTTTTAAAGCCAGGATGACAGAAATCTGGGAGTAAACTTCGCTCTGACGCTGGTCGGCGCCGCTGCCAAGGGGGAGGGCAGAGGGCAGGGAGGGAAGGAGGCCCTCGCGTGTTCCGGGGACAGCGTGGCCGTCTGGCATTGCCGCTGTCCGGCCTCCTCGGCCGCGGTGAGAAAGGAGGCTCCGGCGCCGCCTCTGGCGCCTCGTCGCCCACGGGCCGGGCGCCCCGCACGTGTGACAAGCTGCTCTTCTGTGAGAGTGGCCTTATCTTCAGTCTCATTAAACTGCCCGCTTCTGAAGTAAACTGATGAGCTCGTAACGAACATTTTTAGAAGGGGGCCGTTTTGCCCAGGTCACCTCCTGCAACGTGCGTGGGGGGGCCGGCCCGCTAGTGTTAGGACCGCGGGGGTGGCTCCTGGGCCGTGGGGCTCCTCGGGCTGTGCCCCCTGCTGGCATGCTTGCTGGAGTTGGTGCAGACGTGGCACGATGCCCGCCGGAGGTGGACACACGTGGCTTCATACTGTCCTTCGTGTACCGTATTTAGCTTTTTTGTTTTTTGGGAGGTGTTTTTCGGTTCACAGCAGTATTGAGCTGAAGGAACAGATTTCCCATCTTCCCCTCCTCCCACTGTCAACCCCCCCGCCAGATGGTGCATTTGTTATAGACACGTCCTTGTCACCCAGAGTCCACAGTTGACATGAGGGGTCACTCTTGTTATTCTTGCACATCCTCTGGGTTTGGTCCCCTGTTGCAGAATCATGCAGTGTAGCCTCACTGCCCTAAGCGTCCCCTGTGCTCCACCCCCTTCACCCCTCCCCCCCCCACACCACTGATATTTCACCGTCTCTGTAGCTTTGCCTTTTCCTGAGTGTTGTGTCATTGGAACCACACAGTATGTCACCATCTCAGGCTGGCTTTTTCCAGTCAGCGATGTTAATGAGTGACTAGTGTAACGTCGTTAATCTTAGAGGTCGCTGCTCGTGCTGGCTCTTGTGAGAGCTCTTATGTGCGACCCCTGTGAGGCTGCCCTCTGGACGGGGTGCTCATCCTGTGGGAGCTGCAGAGAAGCTGCTGCTCTGTCTGCACTTTCATCTGAGTTCATGTCTGCCGTGTTTCAGTCTTCGTGTTCGGCGTTTGGTCTGCCTTTAGGCAGTTGGGTCTGTTTCAGGAGGCGCAGTGCTGCTTGTGTTAGCACGGTTTGAAAGTGTGTGTTGAGGACATACCCTCAAAGGTATTCCCATGCGATACCTAAGGGGAGGAGGGATGCTGCCTGCCATACAGGTGAAAACTCCTGTAAGGAGACTCGTCTTGTTCAGAAGATCCAGAATAATAGGCGGTTAATTAAATACACAGTTAGAGCTATGCAGTGTTTAAAAGTTGTATTTCCATCCATCAAGGACATGGAGGATTTCTCCTTCTGGTAAAGGCCTGGTGAGAGAAGGTGAGGAACTTAGTCCTGTTATTTCCACAGGTTCTATTTAGTGGTGGAAGGGGAAGGTAAGGGGAAGCCGTGAAGTGTGAGGGTTTCTCCTGAGCTCCGAACCTCTTCTCTTGCAGCGCTTCAAGTCCTGCGTGTATCGACGGTACAATGACTTCGTGGTCTTCCACGAGATGCTGCTGCAGAAGTTCCCGTACCGCATGGTGCCGGCCCTCCCGCCCAAGAGGATGCTGGGAGGTAAAGCTGGGTTTGCTGGTGGCCAGGGGGCGTAGGGGGGTGGGGTCCCCCCGCCCTGTGCTGAGGTCCTGGCTCCGTGATGGACGCCACTCTCCACTCGTGGCCCATCTTCCTCTGGCCCTCTGCCCAGCAGGGATGGGACGGTAGCAGGACTGTGGTGCAGCCCCAGCCCCTGGGGGATCTGGGCGCAGCTGTGGCTTAGAGCCCAGGTCTGGAACGGGACGGTGACATCACCTGGTGCCCTTAGCTACGTGAGCCTCCTGCTTGATAACTGACACGTTGGAGAAGTGCTCCCTTCTGCAGGGGAGAAGGAGTGAACCCCAGTTCTCCTTCCCAGAGGGCAGAGGCCAGGCGTCCTGGGGCTCCTGAGGGGGGGACGCCGGCTCTGGGAGAGCAGTGGGTACCACCATAGTGTAACGTGTTCTGCGAGAGAACAGAAGTGAATGTCAGCCCAGTGATCTAACCTGCATCTCAAAGGAGATGAAAACGATAGCAGATGGCTGTCTCATCTTCATGCTTCACCGGCAGTTACCTGGGGCTAGGTGAGGGATCACAGGTGTCCCCGGGCCCCTGCACTGGCCCGTCTCTCCCAGGGTTCCAGAGCGCGGGAGGCAGCTGAGGCCTCCTCTCAGGTCTCGTTGATCTTCACCCACAGCCCTTTGCTCAGATTCTAGATGAGACCCGATCCGAAGGCACGTACCCAAGGCTGACCGTCGATTTTCTGCCGCTTTCCACCGTCCTGAAGTGCTTGCGCGCTCACTGGTCTCTGACTAGATCAGAGTCTGATAGTGTCGTTTTCTTTTTGCCCCACCTGAGCACGTGGAACAGACACTATCACGCGGAAGGGGAAGGATGCTGAGGGCAGGAGCTGGAAATACTTCGGGAGCAAGGTGGCTGCTTAGCGAAGTCCAGGCATCAAGGCTGATTGGGTGCGGGTAGGGTTTAGGACCTGGAAGCTGTCGTGCAGTGCTTGGTCGTGTGACTCAGCCTTAGGGAAAATGTAGCCTTCAATGGACGGGGTCCTGGTGGCCTCGAGGGGGGAGATCCTCTTCCAGCTTTTTTTCAATAATTTAAAAATAATACTTTGAATCCCATTTTTATTTGTGGTCAGATTTAAACACTCAGTGCATCATTGTACACTTGGACTCTTTTTGCCCTTGGAGTGAAAATACGTGACCCAAACGAAAGCAGTTCACAATTGGAGAGTGAGTAGTGAGTGATGTGAACAGGAAAACTGGGTCAAATTAATACATGAGTTCAGGCAAACCCGCTTGTTCATAGAGAGCAGCAGCAGAAAGGGATCACAGCGAGGGGTCCAACGCCATTGAGTAAAGCCAGCGGGCTGTGTGGTTTTCCTCAGCAGATCCCGGACCGGGCGTGTCCGTAGGTGGCAGGGCGCGGAGCTGGGGGTCTGGTGCGCCTTCTGCAGCCTGTGGTCCGTGTCCAGTGCCCCCGGCTGGCCCTGTGGCTTGGAGAGCTCTCCGCGTGGGAGGCGTTGGGCACTGAGAGCGAGGTCGCTCTGTGTGGTCACTCCGTGTTCTGCGTCCAGCCGACAGGGAGTTCATCGAGGCCCGGAGGAGAGCACTGAAGCGCTTCATCAACCTGGTGGCCCGGCACCCGCCCTTCTCCGAGGACGTTGTTCTCAAGCTCTTCCTGTCCTTCAGTGGCCCCGTGAGTACCTGCCGCACAGCTGTCCGCGTGCGGCGGCCTGAGGCTCCCCGGGTCTTGTTTTCATTCTTTTTTTTTTCGGCTGCGCCGCACAGCTTGTGCGGTCCTAGTTCCCCGACCAGGGATCCAACCCAGGCCCACAGCAGTCCCACTTATTTTCATTCTTAAATTTGCTTTTGTTTCGTGCTCTCCCCTTAATCCCCTTGTTTGGGGGCCATGACAGAATCTAGTTCCATGGGACAAACACAGATATGACTTACATTCTCCCAAGGTAACAGGTTGAGCACGATTCTAAGAGGCATCCCGGTTCCGACGTCGCAGGGTTTTGTGTGGAAGGGGTGGCTTTGCAGCGCAGTCTCTGGGGGTTTGAAGCTGATACCCAGGAGCCTCTGTGGTTTGGAGGGTTGACAGGCAGGCTGGCGACTCCAGATGGGAATGTGCATTCACTTCAGAAGGAAGGCTGAGGGCTTCCCTGGCAGTCCAGCGGGTGAGGCTCCGCCCTTCCACCGCAGGAGAGCAGGTTCCGTCCCTGGTCGGGGAACCAGGATCCTGTATGCTGTGCGGTGCGGCCAAAATAAAAAAACAAAACAAAAGGAAGGCTGGGTTGGGCTCGGTGCCGCGGGGAGCGCCCGCTGAGCCTCCCCGGCCGAGCTGCAGGGTGGACGTGTGTCCTGGGGAGTGAGCTCTGTGCGGGCCTCGACTCCGGCGCGACGTTGGAGCAGCAGCGCCGTCCTCCAGGCTGCTGTCAGGCCGTCCTGGTCTGTCAGGACGCCGAGGCACAGCCCGACAACGCGCCGCCCGGACGGCCCCGTGTGCCCAGGGCTGAGCTCTTCGGAGGCGGGGAGGCTTCCCCGAGGGACCCTCTCCTTGTTGGGGTGGGCGGAGGGGGCCCCAGCGAGGACGCCCCACGTGGCCTGCGGTGGGACAGACGCGCCCTCACCGGCCGGGGGAAGATGCCGCGGGAAGATGCAGGCGCAGAGATGCAGAGGTGGATTCCACACGAGCCTGGCCGCCTCCTTTACCTCTCTCTCCCTGGAGGCCAAAGGGGCCTTTGACCCCTAGAGACACTGTGGCCTTTCACTCTGCGATGCCCGGGGGGCCTGTCGGTCTGCCCCTTTTATGGGACCCGTTCCAGACATCCAGGGAATGCATGCTGCGGCCTTCTGCCCTGGAGCTGGGAGGGTGGGTCTTTCGAACCCTGGGGCTGGACAGGCTTCTGTAGACCTGGGATCTTTACCACAGCAGAGGGATGTGGTGGGACGAGGGAGCTACGCTCAGCTCCAGGCAGAGGGAGGGTGGTGGGAGGGCGAGCTGCTGCAGAAGCCGGGTGGCGTCAGGCTCCAGAGATGCCTGTCCCTGGGCCTCCCAGCACCATTTGCTTCTTGGTAAAATGAGGGAATTGGGACAGATGCTCTTCAAGGCATCTCTGAGATGTTACGATTCCTTCACCCACACACAGCTGCGCGTTAGGGTCTCTGCCTGTATCCTCCGTGGCTCTCTGTGGGGCTCGTCTTTGCCAGGGAGCCTCCCTTCAAGAGGGCAGAGCTCAGAGCCAAGGCTCGGGACACCAAGTGCTGCCCTTTCTCTGCCACCAGCTCTCCCAGGGCTCTGGGGGCCCTGACCCCATGGGTCTGATCATAGGAAGGAAGGAGACTTCAGTCCCTGTCTCTGTGCCCCACGTGGGACCTTCCAGGATCTAGTGACTCCGACATCTGTCCCAAGTACTCATGTCCCTGGTCTGGAGGTGGAGTTTCCGTTTTTCTGGAGAGAGAGCTCCACTCCAGAGCTGGAGTTTGCAGTCCTGTCACGAGGTCGAGCTATCCTGCCTCTGGAAGACCGACCACCCCAAAGGTTAAGGCCAATGGGAAACAAATGGAACAGGAGACAGGAAGAGATTATAGAATACTTAAGTTAAAGCAAACACACGGAGGGCTTCCCTGGTGGCGCAGTGGTTACGAATCCGCCTGCCAATGCAGGGGACACGGGTTCAAGCCCTGGCCCGGGAAGATCTCACATGCCACGGAGCAGGTAAGCCCGAGTGCCACAACTGCTGAGCCTGCGCTCTAGAGCCCGTGAACCACAACTACTGAGACCACGAGCCATAACTACTGAAGCCCGTGCACCTAGAGCCCGTGCTCCGCAACAAGAGAAGCCACTGCAATGAGACGCCCGCGCACCGCAACGAAGAGTAACCCCTGCTTGCTGCAACTAGAGAAAGCCCGTGTGCAGCAATGAAGACCCAGTGCATTCCCCCCCCGCAAAAAAAAAGGCCAACACGTGGAGACCCTGCTTTCTGGTGGCTCAGTTGGTCTCACGCCTCTGGTTCTGTGGCTGGTTGAGGGTCAAGTGTTTCTCTCTCGCTTTTGCAGGATGTGCAGAACAAGTTGAAGGAGTGCGCTCAGTGCGTGGGAGACGAGTTCATGAACTGTAAGCTGGCTGCTCGGGCCAAGGTACCTTTTGATTTTGATGATCCCTTCCCCCAGAGCAGTAATCACGTGAGCAGTTAGTGACGGTTGTTTTGCCTCTACTGTGTGCCAGACATCGTGCTAAGACGGGTCGCGTGGTTTTCTCCCTTGACCCTTGTTTCAGTTGATCTGAAACCCAGTGGGTGTCACGCCCATTTTACAGACGAGGAAACAGAGGGAGAGGCTGCCATCTGCAAGGTCCCAAACGCCTAGGCAGAGGGGCCCAGGTGTGACTGAGCGCTCTCCGACCACAGGGCCCGCCGGCCCCTCGTGCCGTGGCCTCAGGCATTTCGTGATCAGATGGGTGGGTGCTCTGTCATCAGCTTCTCGGATTTCAGGGGATTGATTGTTGCACGGGTTTATTTTTAAATTTAGTTAATCTGGTCTCTTTCTCAAAAGGATGAAAGTAGCTATTTGGTACCTTTTTTTTTGTTATTTCTTCTTAAACTACTTCTCCGTACAAAAATACAGACTCCTTTACCTTCATTTTATTTCCTAAGCATTGTGTAGTTAACATTAGTTACTATTAATGGGTAGTTACTGTTAAAGCTGGTGAAGAGTTACCCTTCGGGAATAAATGAGGAAATGCAGAGGCCGGGCCCTCGTGCAGAGTCAGGACCGCACGTTCATCGTGTCGAGTTTGCAGATCGTCTTTTTTGTGGTGTGCGTGTAGTGTTGGTTTCTGTGTCTCTTTTGGACGAGAAAGGGCGGGCGCTGGAGAACGAAGTGGGCTCCTGGGCTGGGCGCTGTGTGACCTGGCCTGGCGGTCTGGGCTCGTTTACCCGCTCGGTCGACGGAGTTGCTTCCCCTCCTGCTGGTCGTCTTTTCCGGAAGGTTTTCACGTCTGGTGATGCACAGTCTCCTCCGTCCTCCCCCGTCAGGACTTCCTCCCAGCCGACATCCAGACTCAGTTCGCCATCAGCCGGGAGCTGATTCGCAACATCTACAACAGCTTCCACAAGCTCCGCGACAGGGCCGAGCGGATGGTGTCGCGGACCATCGACAATGCTGCTGACCTCCTCATCTTCGGGAAGGAGCTGAGGCAGGTGACCCTGGTGGGCTCCATGGGGCCAGTTGTGTGGGGCGGGGTCTTTAGCCTTTGGTGGCGGGCTTGGAGCAGAAAGTGTGTTTACCATAATGACTCTCGTTCTGAGTCGTTCTACCCCAAAGGGGAAGGAAAGGGCTGGGGAGACGAGATCGCATTTAGAAGAAAGAAGAGATGGAGAGAGTAGGCAGAGCACCGGGGTTCCCAGACGTAGGGGCTCCCCCCGTTGTCAGGATCAGACCTGAGGAAAGGTCCATCCGATCCGGGAAGGGCCGTGCTCGGCTGGTCACCCTCCCTCCTCTGGAGGAGGGGCCGGGCCTGAGCCAGGATGCTGGCCTCTGCAGCTGCCCCCAGACCTGCGTGCCTCGACCCTGCTGTGCACACGTTCCCTCGGGTCTCACTGACAGTCGGCTCCAGGTCCTGGTGGATCGAGATCCTGCCTTTCTGACCGACTCCCAGCGCTCCTGTGCTTCACGTAGCAGGGGTCTCGGTTGGGAGATGTGCAGGGCGGCCACCCTGGGGCGGTGTGCTGTTGGGCAGAGGGGGGCGTCGGGTGGGCTGCCCGCCCAGCTTCCAGGCCTGAGTGTCTCTTCACCTGTGTGTTTCCTTTCTCCTCAGTGCTTTAGGGTCTGACACGACCCCGCTCCCCTCCTGGGCCACTCTGAACAGTAGCACGTGGGGGTCCCTCAAACAGGCGCTGAAAGGCCTGTCCGTTGAATTTGCACTGCTCGCCGACAAGGCTGCACAGCAGGTGAGTGGGTTTGTTCTCCGAGGTGCTTGTTTCGGAGAACACTCTGTGCCGTGGTGTGCGGGAGCGTCTCCTCCTCAGCTGGACGTCACAGTTGAGTCCACAGTTCTCGGGTCGGAAGGGCGCGTCCCCATCTGCTCCGGGTGGGGCTCCCTGTGAGTCCCTTACGCTCTTCAGAGAGTCGCTGATGACGTGGACAGATTGGGTTCTGGTCTCTGAGATCTGAGCTTGCTGAGATGAGATGTGCTGTGTCCCTGGAGATGTAACCTTGCACTTCCGGGTGCTCCGGGTGGACCAGGTTGCTCCCACGGTGCTGTCGTAGCCAAGCAGCATTTGGCCACTTGAAAGCTCCCGGCACCCCCAGAGGCGCCCCCACGTCTCGCCCTAGACACCCAGCCTGCCTCAGGAAATGCTTCTGCTCTGTGGGCAGGTGGTGTTTGTGGAAATCTGCAGTCTTGTAGTCGTTGGGGTGAATTTGCAGATACAGTGTTTACCGTCCGAGGGGAATGTTCATCGGGGAGCTTTTATGCTATAAAACCGTTACATAATTTGGAGGGTGAGAGTTTGCTTCCTGGTGCTTGGGGAAGTGGGCTTTAGGCGCTGGTAGCTGGTTTTAAATGCATTGAAGTGGAGGCCTTGCTACCTGGCTGGGGCTCACGGCTCCTTAGTAGCGAGTCATGGAACCACAGCAGCGGGGGGGTCTGGGGGGTTGTCAGGCTCCAGGCGGGACGCTCAGGTGCCAGCACAGCTCTAAGTGATGAAAAGGGAATCTGACCTCGTTCCTGGCGTGGAAAGTGCTGGGTGTTCTTCCCCTGTGGTTCCCGTGCCTGAGTGTGTCTTTCAGACACTGAGCGTCGCGCGGAATTGGCACCGGGGCCCAGTCCATCTCCAGGTGAGAGGAGCCCACGTTTCCATGGCGGGCAGGGTGGGGTTGGGGACCAAGAACGTGGTGTCAGAGGACTGGCTGGGTAGAGAGGCGGGCGAGCTCGGGCAGCCTGCTTTGTGCTGGCCTGTGTCTTGTGCTGGGACCTCGCTCGGGCTGCTTTGGTGCCTGGGTACTTTTCTCTGTGATTAGAAACAAGGGAGCTGGCCTAGATCATTAACAGCTTTTTGTTTAACCCTTGGCCCTGTACTCAGAGCTGAGTCGTAAAACATACACACGAAGCTGTTCTGTTGCTGGGACCCAGGCCCTGGGCCCACAGCTCCCTCCTGGACAGGTAACCTGGAGGGGGTGCAGAGCGGGGTGGGAGCCCCAACTCGATCATTTCCAGCATCTTTTCTGATTCAGACTTGGATGCTGCTTCTGCCCTGACGAGGGGAGACGGGCATCAGGCTTCTGACGTGGTGCGGTTTGAAGTTCCTCCTGCCTCTGAGGTTCCTCACAAATGCTGCTTTGCAATGTCATGTCTGTGTGGTGCTCTTTCCTGAATATCCCTCATTGCTCTTGGTGGTTTCTATGTTGAAGTGAAATCAATACAGTTTTTTTTTTTTTTTTTTTTTTTGGGGGTATGCGGGCCTCTCACTGCCGTGGCCTCTCCCGTTGCGGAGCACAGGCTCCGGACGCGCAGGCTCAGCGGCCATGGCTCACGGGCCCAGCTGCTCCGCGGCATGTGGGATCTTCCCGGACCGTGTCCCCTGCATCGGCGAGAGGACTCTCAACCACTGCGCCACCACGGAAGCCCCCCATCAATACAGTTTTAACACGAAACTGGATCAAATGGCCTGTCAGGACTTTCATCCGTCAGAGCTAGGGTTCCACTTCACTCTTGCTGTGCAAGTGAAGATATCAGAAGGCTAGTTCTAATTCCGTTTTTAGGTATCACGGTTTTATTCTCCCCAGACCTGGTAGGAGACCTGATAACTGTCTTCTAGCCAGACAAGTGGGACTCACAGTGGGGCTGTTTCTTCCTCGGTGCCGGGGCGTGTGCTTTCTGTAAAGGCACACGCGCTGCTGGTTAGGGCCTTGCACGGCATCAGAGCAGAAATGGGAGCAAATGACACACGCAGGAGTCCCCCTGCTACACACCCGGGGAGGAACCTCTGTTCTCCTGTGTCCCCTGCCCAGTCAGGAGGGACAGGGCACCTGTGGCCATCTGGTATTTCCCTTTCTGAGTTGGAAAAACCTGCAACATGCCTGTTATTTTCCTGTCACCTTACTGGCTGGAACCTTGACTGTGGGTGCGGGATTGAATGGCTGGGAACCTCTGGGCTCAGCGGGCCCGAGGGCCCAGGGTCCCCTGAGCTGGTGCTGCAGCTTGGGTGGAAGCCCCCAGCTCCCGTCCAGCGCTTGTGTCCCCATCGGTCTTGGACTTCTCTTCATTTCTTCTGCCTGCACCCTCCTCATACCAAGTCTGATGTGGTTTATGGGGTTTATGGGGTGAACTTTTCATTCTCTGCCGTGGCTGGAGCTCTAGAGGTTTTAGAAGGGGCTTGGTTTCCCGGAGGAGCCAGTGCTGTACTTGGGAGAGGTGCTCAGTGCACCCGGAAAAGGGACTTGACGTGTATTGGTGGCTGAGGGATGTGAGGGTGCGAGAGCCCCCCAGCACACGTGGCTGGGACCACAGAGCTAGCATGGGGGGTTCCCTGGAAACCACCGTAGCCTGACCGTTGCTGTGGCGACGGGGGGAGGGTGCGTGGTGGCCTGCAGGCCCGTGTTTGCTGTGCCTGGAGCAGGAGGTGGAGAGACCGCGCTTCTCCCTCATGCTGCCCTCCCTCGTCTCCAGCCACCAACTCTGAGCCCAGAGCAGCCCAGCCCAGGGCTTTGGCACTGACTCCGCCTGCCCGGGAGCGGCTCTGAGCATCGGTGCCCGTTGGCCGTGTGGACGTGGCTCGTCCGTGCGAGCGACGCTGGGCTACACGCCTCGTGGGTGCGGTGGGTGACTCCGGGAGCGGGGCTTCACCCCGTCGTTACCAGGACGCCCAGTCGGCGAACAGCCCCCTCCCATGACGCCGTGGGGCCCCCCGCGTCAACCTGGGTGCAGAGGTGTGTGTGGGGTCCGCGCCCCCCCAAATCTTCAGATTCAGTCCCGTAGCCGCAGACCCTCCCCTCGGCCCCTCGCAGGCCGCGCTTCTCTCCCTTTCGTTGGAGCCACAGCGATTCCCCTTGTCCCCGGAGCATCCCTCCCACTTGCTCCCCCGTTTAAACCCAGCCCCGCTGTCTGCGGCGGGTGGGGAGGCGAGCGGATGCGAGGTGGGCACAGGGCGCCCGGCCCTTGTTCTTGTCCACCTGCGGGTTCTGAGGCTACGGCCTCACGTTGGCGGGCTGTCGTGTGGACGGGGCCCCCTGCACAGCTGGCCCGCGGTGCTGGGGGCCGAGCCAGCCCAGGCCCGCGGTGGGTGTGCACCCCTGGCTCTGGGTCCTGTGTGCTCGGTCGGTGTTGGCCCACCTGCCGTGTGTTTTCCAGGGCAAACAGGAGGAGAACGACGTGGTGGAGAAACTGAACCTCTTCCTGGATTTGCTCCAGTCTTATAAAGTGAGTCTCAGCTGCTGCCTGGTCAGGGACAGAGCTGTTGAGAAGGCTGCTGTGCCCTTTCAAGGGTGTGACTCTGGGGGACGTGGAAAAAGAGCCTGAAGCCAGGGCTGCGGGGTGCAGATGGGCCTCCTGCAGGCTCCCGGGGGAGGGGGGTGTGCATCCTGCAGGGTGCTGTGGGCAGGCCTCTGGCTTCCCCGATGTGAGAGCGAGGGGCGCGTGCGCGTGTGAGTGTGACTGCCATCGCTCTTTATAAACACACAGGGGCTGGCCCGGTGGGAGCCGCCTCTTCCAGGGTGTGGAGGTTCTGGGAAGTCAGGCCTCAGCTCGGGGCGGGCGGCCTTCCAGCCATCGGTGGCGGGATGGATCGTCTGTGAGCCCTGAGGATCCTTTGGGCTGAGCTCAGGGGGAGCTGGCCCAGCGCCGGTGGGGAAGGTTCTAGAAGGGGTTCCTCTACTGGGCGGGACAGCAGCCCGTGAGTGGCCCTGAAGTCGCAGCCCTGTGACTCCGTGGCTAGTATTCCCGCAGGAATCGCGATCGGGGTCACGTTAGGGCCCCGGGGAAACGCCAGCGCGTCGTCCTTTAGGAGACTGACCTTGCTGCTGGGGGGCACTGGCTTCTGGAGGTCGGTCAGCACTACGTGTGAGGTCCAGGGCTGTCCCCGCTCTGCGCTGGTCGTTTCCCCGTGGGTTTCTGGCGCTACTGATCTGCACCGTGACCCCCTCACAGCTTGCCCCGGGTGGCCCAGCTGGACGCTCCCTTCCACCAACACCGAGAGTGGAGTGAGCGGGGTGCGTGTGAGCTGTTTCTAAGCAGGAAACGCCGTCCTCGCCCCCGGGCGTGGAGGCCGTGCAGCGGGTGCTGTCTGTGTCTCCCGCCTCCTGGGCTGACGTGCCGCGTCCTCCCGGCAGGACCTGTGTGAGCGGCACGAGAAGGGCGTGCTGCACAAGCACCAGCGGGCGCTGCACAAGTACAGCCTGATGAAGAGGCAGCTGATGAGCGCCGCCGTGCAGAACCGCGAGCCCGAGTCTGTGGAGCAGCTGGAGTCCCGCATCGTGGAGGTGGGCCGGGCGGCCTGGGCCCGCCTGCGGGGCGGTGGGCGGGCCTGAGGGTACCTTGCCACACCTGCTGCCGGGCCCTGGGCCGTCCTCCCCGGCTCCCTGAGCTGCTGGGACGCTGACGCCCGGGCACCGGCTGACGGAGCTGGTGTGACCGATGTGTTGCACGGAGTGGGGGGCCTGGCCCTGGGCTCAGGAGGGGCGGGGTGTGGGCCCTGGCGCTCCTGCTTCCCACCGTGTGCCGGGCCAGTCGCGAGGGGCTCTGTGCTCTGCAGCAGGAGAACGTGATCCAGACGATGGAGCTTCGCAACTACTTCTCCCTGTACTGCCTGCACCAGGAGACGCAGCTGGTCCACGTCTACCTGCCCCTTACCTCCCACATCCTCGGGGCCTTCGTCAGCTCCCAGATCCAAGGGCACAAGGAGGTGGGTCCCCCACACACACCTGGCCGTCCGGGCCAGCGCCCTTCGTCCTGCAGCAGCCCTTGAAGGTCCGGCAGCCCTGCGGCTGACCTTGAAGAGTTACTTAGGAAATGAGTGCAGTGGGTGAGCTAGGACTTGGAACCGTTCCCGTCCAAATCTGCTCGTCCCGTTGCAGCCGATGATACTCCTGACGTTGTCCTTGTGGCTCCCGGGGGGCGGGGTGGTGGGAGAGCAGAGCAGGACCGTAAAGGAAGAATTTCTTCGCTTCTGGAGGAGTTCCAGACAGAGGTCAGAGGCAAAGCACATGGAACCCCCAGGAATGAGAGCAGACAGTGGGTGTCGGTGCGAGGAGGTGCAGGGGGACCGCAGATGGGGATATTTCTGTGCAAACCCTGCTGAGCCCTTGAGAGGCGCCGTGACGGGCCGGGGGCCCCGCGGACTGCGCGGACGGCCGGGCTCAGCCGCGGCTCTGGCTTGGGTGTGGCTCTTCGCCCGCTGCCCCCAGGTGCAGCCTGGGATGTGTGCGGCCAGGGCTGAAGGGACACTTGCAAGGTCCCTGCCCGGTTCTGCGTTCGCTGGCCTCATGATAGCTGACGCCCTCCTTCTCCCTGACGCCCTCCACCCTGGGCTCCTTCCCGGCTCTGGGGGCGCCGGCACCTCCTGTGAGGGACACACCTGCCGGGCGCCGCGTCTAGCTCTTTGATACGCAGGCGGGGGGCGGGGAGGTAGCGTAGGCTCAGACTCTCTGAACCTCACATCCTAGCTGTCTCAGCTTCCAGCTGTGCACCAGTTCTGAGCTCTGAACGGCCTTGGTTGGGCTGTTTAAGCTCTGTGCCAGTTTCCCCACCTGGCAAGTGGCGTAGAATATGACCCTTGCAGCCTTCCGAGACCAGCTCGGGGATTGGCTGGAAGTGGACTGCTTGGTCGTCGTTCCGTGCCAGGTCCTGTGGCCGTGCTGGGCACACACCTGCCCCGCAGCCGTCCCTGACACCAAAGGAGTGGGAGATCCCGACAGGTCGGCCAGCTGGAGGGGACGGGTCCCACGCGGGGCCCCAGGGGTGGGCTGGGGTGCAGTCTGGGAAGCTGGCGACCCTGCCCGGAGGGCCAGGGAGGCTTTTGTGAGCAGCGCGTGGAGGGAGCTCAGACCTGTAGTTCGGAAAGGTGCCGGGCGGTGGCTGGGTGTGCGGATTCAGGGGTAGAAGACATGACATGGTGCATGCAGGCGGGAGGTGGCCGGGCCAGAGCGGGCTGGAGGGTCTGGTCAGCGTGTGGTTAGTGTACGGGTCCCTCTCAGACTTGCTTTCAGAACCGCTGGGCCCGGGACTCGAGGGTCTGTGCTTTCAGTGGGACGCCAGGGGAGTCGGGCACGAGTGAGAAATGTTGCCTGCCTGAGACAGAAGTTCCTTTACTTTCTCTTAGTGCCTCAGTGACTTTTCACGGCAGCCCGAGGCCAAAGTACCGTTTTAATGGTTCTGTTTCTTACGTTCTTAGCTCCAGACAGCGTCAGAGCAGTGGTCCACGTAGCCTGTGACAAATGCTGAGTTTCCCTTGAGCGTTTCTCATAGTTCGTGGTGCCCCTGGAGTTCTCTGGGGTGCCCAGGGTGCCCTCGGGCACAGTGTAGGACCTGCAGGTGTGGCCAAGGCAGCAGCAGCGCTGGGGGAGGTAGGGCTGTACGCTGGTGAGACCTCACGGGCAGGTCCGGGCGGCCAGTGGGGACATTTCCTGACGCGATCCTGGATTTCTCCGCTGCGGGTGACTCGTGAGTGCCCCGGTCTCGAAACTCGGGGACTAGGCTCTGCTCCCGCCGCACGTTCCCAGGGCCACGCTGCTTCCTGTTGTGACGCGAGCCCCGCTGCCCCAGTGCTGGCCTCGGACACGGGCCTCGCTGCTCAGCCTCCTTCCTCGCAGACGCCTGGGGCCGGGAGCTGTGGTGGCGGCCGCCCTGCTCTCGCTTTGCCCATCTCTGTGTTCCTCTGGTGGACGTTGTCTTGGCCTCTGAGCCGCCCAGAAGGCCGGACCTGCAGACCCGTCAGAGGGAGCAACCCCGTGATAACATTTGTTAGGTCGAGCAGACCCGTGCCTTTCTGTCCCCGTGCAGGGGTGGTGGCATGGCCACCATGACCTCTGGTTGCAGGTCTGCCCTTACCTGGGCTGGTCTGTGGAGGGGTGTTCGGAGCGCTGGGCCACGATGCGGGTGGGAAGGCCGGCCCGCCCCCACTCTGGGAGCTCTGGGGGAGGTGACACATGCGCTGGCGTGGCTGCACGGGCGTCTCCTCTCTTCGTGAGCATTTTAGGAGGAGAGAGCTGGTGCGTCAGGCCACAGGCGGCCTCCATCTCCTCACCCCACGCTTCCCCTTCCTCCTCCAGATGAGCAAGGTGTGGAATGACCTGCAGCCCAAGCTACAGTGCCTCTTCGCTGGACCGCACGGCGCCCCAAGCCCACTGAGGTCCCCACAGGACGGCCTGTCTCCTCACTAGTGCCGGGAGGATGTGGGCGGCAGCTCCGGCGCCCTCACTAAAACTTCTTTCCAAATGGTGTGTTCCTGTTTAATTCCCTTCACGTGGTGGCTGCCCCGACCCCGAGGGGGCCCAGCGTTGGGCTGCAGCCCCTCGTGGAAGAGCTGATGCCCGGGCAGGGTGGGGCCGGGTCCCAGTGGCCGTGGCTCCCCTCCCCTCGCGGGGAGCAAGGCCGAGGACACGCGCTAGGCCTCCGGGCGTCCACGGAAGCTGCGGCCACACGGGGTCTGTCCCGGTTGCCCTCGACCCTGCCCGGCCCTCCCGAAGCACACCGTGGCCCGTCAGCCTGGTGGCGAGAGTGTTGAGAGTCCCCGGAACGGTTTTCTCCCAGGACCCACAGAGGGATGGTTTGCACACAGCAGATCGTGCAGGGGGGCGTGTGCTGGGGCCCATGTGCTAGAACAGTCGGGAGGGTTCTGGAATAGCTGAGCGGGGAGACGGGGCAGGACCGTCCCCGCGGCCGGCGTGCTGCCGTCGGACGGCGGTGGCCGTGTCCGACACGGAACTGGCCAGCGAGACCTTCCGCTGCGGCCCGCAGATAGCCCTGGCCATGCGAGCGGGGGCCCGAGGGTCCCTGGGCCCAAACCGTGAGCCTGGCGGCCCTGGCGTCTGTGTCCCTCCCTCCATGGCACGCACACGTGTGCACGCTCACACCGTGACCCTGTCGTGTGCCCGGCGGTCTGAGGTGCGGAGGACAAAGCGGGCACCAAAGCGTCTGGAGGCCCGTGAGCCGATGCTCCGCCGTCTCTGCAGGCGCAGGCGGCTGCCCGGCTGTTCTTGGGAGGTCACGCCGTGGGCGTCGAGGCTGGCAGGGCAGTGGGCTCCGCGGGGGGGGTCTGCGTCGCTCTGGTAACCCTCTGTTACACCGACTTCGCTTTGGGGCAGCAGGCACCCTCCTTCCAGCCTCCCTGCCACGCTTGCCGGCCCAGAGCCTGCTCCGAGGGGGCGGCGGTCTGGAGCTGGGTGGGCTTATGTCCGCCTGGGGCTGGGTGTGTCCTGCCCTGAGCCCCTGTTGTGTAAGTGCCCCCCGTCCTTCACGGTTCTCACTGGCTTGGGAGGGCGCTGGAGGAGGCCGACTGCACCGAGGGTCTCTGAGGTCCCTGCCTTCCTGCAGCACGTGCCTGGGGTTCTGGGGGTTTGCCCTTGGTGTGAGGCACGCACGTGGGACCCAGAGGCTCTGGGTGACAGGCAGGCTTCCCTGGTGAGCTGACACACGTTACAGTCCAGGGCAAAGTGAGTGTGCCCACCGGGGCCTGGGCTCACCCACACGTGGGTTCAGGCGTGCGGGGAGGCCGGCTGCACCCCACCCGCCGGAGCCCCATGGCAGCCAACGTGTGCCTTCCTGTGCCGGGCTGGCCGGTCTCCTGGAGGACGAGCAGAGGGGTGGTGCGCCCCCGGAGCCTGGCCAGCAGGGGCCGCCTGTGCCATGTGCCCCGTTGTGGGCTGCTTCTGCGTTTGATCCCTCTGTGGAGAAACGGGCTCCCAACCACTTTGAGTGGCTCTGTGCTGCCCGGCAGGTTGGTCCCCAGGTGCTGTGTACGCTTGAGCCGTGGAGCGTTGACCACAGGCCTCTGCTGTCCTGGCCCCGCGGTGGTGGCTGCTCACCCCTGAGGTCTGTCCGTGGGTGGTGAGGGACACAAGGCCACGGGACAGCGGAGAGCGGGGGAGACGCCCTGGCCGCGTGGTGGGTGGTGGCGCAGCGGCACGGAGGGTGGGGAGCGTCTTCCCGGTCAGGTTGAGGCTTGCCCTGCCCACACGGGTCACCAGGGAGATCTCTGACACCAAAGACATCAGATGCACTTTCCAGGAGAGAATCCTCCTGGCGGGACTGGCTCCCGCGTGGAAACCAGGAGCGCGTTCTTGGTTGGAGGCCTGGCCTCGCTCTTCCTGAGAGGCTCACCTGCAGGGCACTTTGTGGTCCACCCGCTCCCCCCACCCCAGGTGCTGGAAAGGGGTCAGTGGGAAGATGCTGGAGTGACCGTGTCCCCCTCGTGTGGCAGCTGGGGGCGCAGAGGCACCTTTTCCACAAAGCTCCCCGTCCGCCCTCCACCTGGGCTGCCGCTGGGTTCCCAGGCTCGGCGGGCAGGGTTTTCTGCTCAGTGTTTGCTCGGGGAGGGGGAGGAGAGGCTGCCCCAGCTCCAAGGTGGGCCACGCACACCTCTGCGTCCGAGCTCTCCTCGTGCCCGGGAGAGCCTGTCACAGCCCCGTGAAAGGACGTCCGGTTCCATCTTCCCGATGGGAGCCCTTCGGCCGCTCCTGTCCCGTTAGGGCTGAGTGTGGCTCACCACTGCCTTGGCCTGGCCCGAGGCGCCTTCAGGCCACGCCCCTCCAGCCTGCGTCCAGCTGACTCGGTGCGAAGGCGCAGAGTGGGGACGAGGGAGGGCGTGGCCAAGGCAGGCTGCCGTGGGGACCCGGGGCTCGGGCTGCCGGAGGTCAGGACGGTTCGGTATCTTAGGCCTTTCCTCTTGCTTTGCGTTGAGTCTGGTTATGTATGAAGCACTTTATACGGCTGCAGGGATCAATGACCATCACACCCAGTTAACTGGAATTGTTTACAAATGAGCTACATTCCGAGATTTTTATCACTGAACTTACATGAACAACTATCATTAAACGTGTTTATAAAAGTCGGGTCAAGTTGTGAAGTTTTTGTGTGAGTGGTTGGTACCCCCCAGCCCCCTCCCCAGGGTCAGAAACCAGGATGAGATCAGCCTGTCTTGGGGGAGGGAGGGCGACCAAGTGATGGTACATTAGACGGGGGTTGGAGCCCTGGGCCCTGACCGCGCCTCGGTTTCCCCATAAGGGGGGTGGTGAGAGGAGGACACGGCCTCTAGCCCACCCCCGGGATCCTGCGGCCCCGTGCACACCTACGCCGGGCCTCCCACACCAGTTCTCCCCCGTGGGACGTCCGAAAAGCCGTCCCCTCCCCTTTTGCGCCTGTGTCTCTTTCCCCCATCTCTGTCCGGTGGTGCAGGTCACAGCCAGGCACGTCTGGCAGCTCCCCGAGGATGGGACTTCGTGAGGCCCGGTGAGGAATGTTGAAAAAGTAGGAGGTTTATTTTCCTTTCCATCCAATCATGCGCCAGACTGGAGGCCCGGCCGGTGTGCTGAGCCTGGAGCCACAGCGTGGCTGGGCAGGGGTGCTCATGGCCCGAGGGACGAGCTCAGCTCTGTCCTAGACTGTGTCCACCTCGCGAAGCTTGTAGTCCAGGATGGTGTCGTGACTCTGGAACTTGAAGTAGCCGTGGAACTTCTTCTTCTGAAGCAGGAGGGGAAACCAGTAGCTGTCATCGGGCCACATGTCAGCGAAGGGGATCTGGTCCAGTTGGAACCACTGGGGGCGCATTTCTGAAGTCAGTGAAAAGGAACTGTCATCGATGTTCAATCCAGATTTTAAACTGACTTTTTGTGAGGAATTACTGAGTTATTCTGTGTGAGGAACTTGACATACTTTCATATTTAATCCTTGTGACTGTATCCCTTATCTTACAGAAGAGTAGGGAGGCTCCGGTGCTGGTGTGTTTCAGCACCTGCCCCTGGGGGAGGGGAGGGCTGCCGTGCCGCTCATCACCTGCCTCCCTCACCCGCCGGGAAGGGACGAGCCCAGAGACTCACCTTCGCTCTCCACTGGTGTCCCGTGGACACTGTCTGTGCAGAAGATGTGCATGTCCATCAGCTCGGGGTCGCCCACGAACTCAAACACTATCTGGCCCACCTTCTGCAGCGCGTCCACGGTCAGACCGCTCTCTTCCTGCAGCTCCCTGTGGGCAGAGGCGGATGGACGCACCCGGACATAAGGTGACAGTTAACGCAAGGCGCCCACGCGGCACCCGAAAATGGTGCTGGGAGGATGGGGGGGCGGAGTGTGTACATGTGGCCAAGGGCTCGCGTTCGGGGACCGCTGTTGAGGGGCAGCCAGACCTCTGTAATTGAGCACCCTGGGCGCACCACGTGGCAGGTCAGGCCTGGCCCAGCTCAGCTGCTCGGAGGTCCCACGGGAGGCCACTGCTAGAGCCAGGGGACCCCACCTGTCCTGCTTGGCTCTCCCTGAGGCCATCACGTGTGCGTGGTGCTCTGCGGGCTGCAGCCCCCGGAACCCGGCCCTGAGCCAAAGTCCTCCTGCCCTGTCCTGTCTCCGCACAGAGCTCAGGAGCAGACTGCAGGTTTCTACTGTCTCTTCTCCAGGGAAGGGGCTGTTTTAACTCCTGTTTCACCAAGGAGACAGGCCCCACCCCAGCCAGCTCACCTCAGCCGCGCTTGATGGTAGGGGATGAGCTTTGGGCCTGTCTCGCTGTGTCCCCGCTTCTCAGGACCCTTTCCCCCAGCTCAACCACCTGTGCTTGTAGGAAGGGGTCAGGGGGCTGATCTCCCCACCTGAGTGCACAAGTGCCGGGCGATTCACGAGAACCGGGATCCCCCCCCTCAATTTAACAATGCTTCCCCAAGCTACATATTCATTGTAGACAGTCTAGCAAACACACAGAGACTCCTCACCCAGCAAGAACCCTTGCTACCACTGCAGTTTCCCCTTGGGGTCTTTCTCCTTTGTGCATCCCTTTTAAGAACTGCACACATGCCGCCCGTACCTTGTACCTGTGCTTTTCACACAACACTGCAGAGCCACGTTCTACACTTCAAGGAATTCAACCAGCTTCTCGGCTGTTGTGTATCATAGAATAAAAGACCCACCTTGCTCACCACAAAACCCGCCGTGATGAGCGTCCTTGTACACACCGTCTGCCACCAGCCTTTCACCCCACCGGCTGCCCCGCCGCCGTCATCCTGCGTCTCGTTCCATCCTTGGCGAGCGCTTTCTGGATGTTCTGCTGTGCTCGGGACTCTGGGGACCCCACCAGCCCTGCACCCGTGAAGCTCAGCACCTGTGTCTCCTGCTACAGTCTCACTTCCCCACTGCCCTGTATTTATTTTTGTTGCTGTAAAAACATTCTAATTACACCTGACTATTTAGAGTGGTAGCTTAAAAAAAGGTCTTTTTAAGCTTTGATCTCTGAGTTATGTTAGGAACGCAATGCATAATTACTTCCTGTTGCCTGTAATGAGGAGTCAGGGAAACCAGTGTTTGTTAAACACGTGTGCTGGGTTAAACGGTCTTATTTAAATGGACGCCTTATTGAGCTTGGAATCTGCCCTAACCTTCCTGTGAGGCCTGGAGAGGAACTGTATCCATTTGCTGCCATTCAGATGCAGCCCAGGTGATGCTCTGGAAGCTGGAATTTATTCATTGAGATGGTTAATTAAAATTAGACACGACCTAAAAAATGAACGTGTGTTTTCACTTGCGAGGGTGGAAATGGCTCCCCAATTAAATGTAACAGAAGCCTTCGGCAGGGCCCGCCCTACCTCCGGCAGCAGGCTGGCGAGCTCATTTTAAAACCGTCACCTGCTGATTTAATGTTTTGACTAATTTTGGCTCATCTTCCGGGAGTCCACGGCAGTGTATGAAATGTCAATAATGTCCTCGCAGGCAGAGCTGAGCTTGCTTCGGGCCGGGATAACCAGGAAGCCGGGGGTGACACTGATCCAGTTTTGCTGACGTGTCTGACTGCATCTCTGGGATGTTCCCCACACGGCGGGGGACGCGGGGGCCCTGCGGTCCGGAGCCCGCGGTGCAGCTCGGGGGCCCGCCGGCCACACGGCCTTCCAGAGTTCTCTAACACAGTGCTCTGTGGGTGCTGGCCAGAAAGGTGGGCGTGCTCCACGCCCGAAGCTGAAACCTGGCTGTGAGGCACCCTGGGTCCCCAGGTGCCTGCAACTCCCTGCAACCCCCCAGAGGAAGGATACATCTTCCTTGGTGCTCAGATGGCTTCCCCCCAAGGACATCCAGCACAGAGGAAGGGACAACCAGTCTCCCGGCCACCTGAGTCTGCTGGCACGTTAACCCAGCTGTTGAAGTGGGGCCCACCCTGGGACCCCAAAGCGCAGTGCACCAGATACCCCCAAGGCTGCCGTGACCTCGCTCGTCAGGGCAGGACAGCCAGGGCCTGGGGCCTAAGAAGCAGCCCCACGCACGTGCACGGAAAGAGGCCAGAGCTGCCCTAGGGGCCTGGGGCCGACGGCTGAGTCATCCCCAAAGTGGGCGAAGCCCTGTTGCTGCTGGAGTCCCAGGGCCCTGGGGTGGGTCTCAGCCTGCGCCCCGTGCATTAGAACCTGCCACCCGTCCCGACCCCCCCTGCAGGGGCTCAACAGTCCTTTGTCGGGGTGGTCCTGACACCTGGCTCCATCCTACACCTAGGCTGGAACCCTGGGGAGAGGCCGCGGGGCTCCTGGAGAGAGCTGCCCGGAGCTGCCCCACAGGCCCTGGGCGCCAGCGTGGTACCGTGCGGCCACGGGCAGACTGGTCTGCATCAGGCGCGCGGTGTGGGCCCTGGGTGGTGCACTTCTGGCCTCAGTCTCAGGGTAAGGCCAACCCTGCCTAAAGGAAGGTCCCCCGGGCAGAGCATGGAGACCATTAGTGCCCCGTGGCTGTGGAGAGGATGTCCCCCAGTGGGGCACGCTGCCTGCAGGGGCTGAGTGTGCCCTCAAGGGCGCCCGGGTATCAAAACGGAGCTCAGGGCGGCCTGGGAGGAAGCGCCCTCCACAGCCCCACCTGCTGGACGAGGCCTCCGAAGGGCAACGAATCACGAGGCTCTAAGAGGGTAACTGAGACCCTGATGCTAAAGCAGTGAGCAAGCCTGAGCGACAACAGAAAGGCAGCGATCTCAGGACGGCTCTGCGATCTGTGGGGAGGTCGGCACAGGAGTGAGGTTGGGGGTCACGGGGCCACCGCTCCAGTGCTTCTGGTGGTGCAGCGAGTGTCTGGAGGGCAGCCTGCAGGGCCCAGCACGGCGTCTGCTCGGCTGCACCGAGTTTAACGCCAGGGGCCCACGGACGCTGAGCAGATGGCTCGACGTCATTAGTCACTGGGGCAAACACAGTAAAACCGCCACAAGGTATCACCACACCTGCCTGCCGGGATGGCTGAGATGGAAAGGACAGAAGATGCCAGGTGGCG